TGAAACTCTTGGTGATTGGATCATGAGGGAACTAACCTCTTCTATGGAGTAATCTGTCCATGACTTCACAGAAGAATGGGCTATCAGGAGGTAGTTTTTAAAGTTCTTTTATTTCTGTGTATGTGTGAATATGTGTTCAGGTGGCTGTGGAGGCCAGAGAGGGCACTGGATCCTTTGGAGCTGGAGTTACAGGTGGTTGTGGAGTTGCCTGATGTGGGTGCTCGGAATTGAGCTCTTAATGGCTGAGCCAGCTCTCCAGCCCCCTCCCTCTTCAGCCTTTTTATTGATTCTGTGAACACCCCAAAGCTCTTTTAATGTGTTACTTTTCTGTTTCAGTTAACCAGAAGCAGTTTTTGTTGCTACCGAAGACTCCAGCAGGCTAGACAGTCCATCAGTTAGGTAATATTTAACCACGAAGAGTTTGATCTTGCTATTTATAGTAAAAAATCTCTAACTGATATTACGGTTAATTTTGCAGCTGGCTTGGGCGTTCCGTCTGGGCTCTCTATGTCCCGGATGGAAAAGAGGGAAACAGCAGAGGAAAGAGTACTTACTTGTCCTTCAGCTTGCAGAATATCTGGTACCCATCTTTACTGGTGTCTTTCTCATTTCTCACAGTTCTTAATTTGTGCTCTCTTTTTAAATTTTTTAAATTTATTTTTATTTTTGAAAAATATTTTATTATTTTTATTTTATGTGTATGAGTCTATTGCCTACATGTATGTAAGTGCACATATGTTGTGCAATGACCACAGAGGTCAGATGAGGGTGTTGGATTCCCCTGGAACTGGAGTTATGGACAGTTGTTGGCTGCCATGTGCGGGGAATTGAACCTGGGTCCTCTACAAGAGCAGCCAGTGCTCTTAACTGCTGAGTTATCTCTCCAGCCTGTTTGTACTCTCTTATCCACCCATTCAACACTAATTCAGTACCTATTATATACATAGAAGTATGCTAGGCACTGAAGAAATCTGAAGATTAATCAGATATGACCATGACAGTGTGCTTTTGAATTGAGACAAATGTATTTTTTTTTTTTTGCAAGCACATACACTTTAAAAATCAATTACTATTAGCCGGGCGTGGTGGTGCACGCCTTTAATCCCAGCACTTGGGAGGCAGAGGTAGGCCGATCTCTGTGAGTTCAAGGACAGCCTGGTCTACATACTGAGTTCCAGGACAGCTGGGGCTACAGGGAGACCCTGTCTCAAAAAGACAAAAAACAAAACAAAACAAAACAAAACAAAACAAAACAAAAGAAAGTAGGAAAAGAGAACCTTTTTAATCTTTGGACTACTATTATTAGAGGCAAGGCTAGGTTGATTTCTTAGTAAATGTTCTAGAAATTAACATTAACAAAAAGGGCTGGCCACACTTTTAATCTCAGCACTTGGGAGGCAGAGGCAGGTAGATCTCTGTGAGTTCAAGGCCAGCCTGGTCTACATACTAAGTTCCAAGGCAGTTAGGGCTATGTAGTGAGACCGTGTCTCAAAGAGCAAAACAAAACAAAACAAAACACTCCATATATTTCTCCAAGAGTATTAAGAAAAGAATGCCTCTTTTCAAGTTGACAAGTAGATGACAGCTCATTGAAATATTTGTGACGAGAATGAGAGATGGGGAAATTAGTGCCAGTGCAGTAGAAATTTCATTCCAAATAAACTAGAGCCAGGTGTGGTTAGCACATGTCTTTAGTCTAAGCATTCAGGAGGCAGAGGCAGCAGATTTCTGTGAGATCGAGGCCAGTCTGGTCTCCATAGTGAGTTCCAGGTCAGTTGGGGCTACAGGGAGACCCTGTCTCAAAAAACAAAACAAAACAAACAAACAAACAAAACAAACAAACAATATCAACAGCAAGAACAATTAACAGAGTCCTAAAACAGAATCAAAGAAACATCAATTTTAATGAAAACATATCCTGTTTATTTTTTTTCCTGAAATTATCAAATCCATACTTCGGCCAACAATTGCCCAGGGAGTATTGACACATAGCTGAAGACACAGAACACTGAGCACAAACAGGGAGGAAGGAGACACATTAGCAGTGTGGACAAAACATGCCAGAGTCAATGGCTCCTGCAGGACAACTGTACAGACACACTTTACAGGAGCATCCATTATGAGTCTTGATCTAGGAGTCAAGGCTGGGTTTGGGGGTCGGTTCTTCATTTCCCAGATCACCTTGGATAAAGCACTTAACTGTGCTCAGACTCAATTTCTCTATCAACAATAAGAGTACATAAAAGATCATAATTGAAAAGACTTTCAGAGATCACCTGAAGCAGACTTTAAAAAAATTAGTGTATCTCAATTTTGCAAAATAATATGCTTTATTATAGTATCTTTGCATGTATATAATGCATTTAGATCATAGTACATTGTCTCTTGTCCCCCTCCACCCCTAACGGCCTTCTTCTGAAACAGTCTCCCTGAAGCAGTCTTTCACTTGTGTGTGGTTTATGCACATTTGTGGGTGCATGCGTGTGTGTGCACATACTTGAAGGCCGGAGGTGGACGTTGAGTGGCTTCCTCAACCATTCTCCACCATATATATGTATGTATATATAGGGTCTCTCTCATTGAACCTGTGGAGTTCACCAATTTGGCTAAGCTGATCAATGAACTCCAGGGATCTGCCTGTCTCCACATCCTTGGTGGTTACAGAACTGTGCTACCTAATTCAAGTCTCATGTTTTAAATATTTTATTTATTATTTTTATTTAATGTGTATGAGTTTATTGCCTGCATGTGTGTAAGTGCACCCGTGCTGTGCAATGCCTTGGAGGTCAGAAGAGGGTGTTGGGCCCCTTGGAACTGAAGTTACTGACAGTTCTTAGCTGACATGTGGGCGTTGGGAATCAAACCCAGGTCCTCTGCAAGAACAGCCAATGCTCTTAACTCTCGAGTCATCTTTCCAACCCCCACCAACTCAAGTTTTAGGTGGGATTCAACTCAACACTTTATAGACTGAGCCATCTCCCCAGCTCAGCAGACTTTCACTTTGAATGACTTTCGAAGACCTCTTATGCTCCTCTCCACTTGAGGGCTTCCTTTGATAGGACACTTATTCTATCTAGCCAACTGGTTTCATTTTTTTGGACAGGGTCTCCGTAGCCCCAGTGCTGGGACTAAAGGCGTGTGCCACCACATTGGGAATTGGTTCCATTAAAAAAAATACTTTTTAAGAAAACTCTTCTTTATGTTTTGAATTGTAGTGTTGTTACAGCATTCTCATCCTGATGACTTTGGCACGCAGAGGGTCAGTCTAAACCACAGGACTGTTCCAAGAAGGCTGCTGTCTTGGCTTGCTTCTTCTGTGGGCTACATTACCTCTCCTTTCAGCTGCCTCATCTATGACATTCAAGATAGATACCATTCTACACCTTTTATTTATTTATTTTTTCTGATGTTGTTTGTTTGAGACAGGTCTTCCTACTTTTTGTGTAGACCTGGCTGGCCTTGGTATCACAGAGATCCACCTGCCTCTGCCTCCTGAGTTGAGATTCAAGGTGTGCACCACCAGGCTTGGTTTTTGTATTTTTCTAGAGAATAGTGGTTAAGCACCCCAGTCAATCTGAATGGTCCTGTCCCTTACTTAGTAGTTGGGTAAATTTTTCTGGTTTTTCTGGCTTCTCTTTCTAGAGATTAGAATAGTAATCACACTCTTCTCTTGGAGAAGCTGTGGATGAGATCAGTAGGACAAAGAGTTTAATATAATACCTGGCACTTAGCACGGTTACTGTGGCCAGGAACGAGGATAATTAATAATGAGAAAAAAAAGTGAAGTTAGAGCTGGGCATGGTGGTACACACCTTTAATCCTAATCCAAGGATCTGGGAGGCAGAGACAGGCAGATCTCTGTGGGTCCGAGGCCAGCCTGGTCCACATAACATGTTCCAACCCATCTAGGGCTACACAATGAGGCCCTGTCTCAAAAATAAATAAATAGGGGCTGGAGAGAGGGCTTAGCAGTTAAGAGAGCTGACTGTTTTTGCAGAGGACCCAGGTTTGGCTCCCAGTACCTACATGGTGACTAACAAACTTCCATAACTCCAGTTCCAGGGGATCTGATGCCCTCTTTTGGACATCTGCTGGCATTGTACATATGTGGCACACTTACATACATGTAAGGCAAATCACTCATATGTATAAAATGAAAATAAAAATAAAGTAAAATAAATAGGGGCTGGAGAGATGGCTAAGCTAGATGGTACGTGATGCTCTTGCAGAAGACCCAGTTCAGTCTCTAGCACCCACATGACAGCTCACAACTACCAGTAATTCTGGTTTCAGGGGATCCAATGCCTTCTTCTGGCCTCCTTTGGCTGCATACATGTGGGTCACATATATTCATGCAGGCTCACACACAGACGGATACATTTAAGAAAACATTACAATAAATAAACAATAAAAATAAAAAAAGAATGACAGAGCCAGCAGGATTAGAAAAGTTAATCTAGGGTGTTCCTGTCTCCACAAACAAGTTTAGATTGTCCTGATAAGGAGCTTTCTGTTCATCCAGATTATCACTTCCAGCAGGGAGTTCACTGTGTAGAAAAGGAGGCCACCGGAGCCCAGAAAGGACTGGTGTTCATTGTAAAGTGAAATAGATCAACATTTTCATGTCCCAGAAGAAACGATTGGCAGCTAAGTCTAAGGCTGCCGTCCTCTGCAGGGGACAGTTTGAATTAAAGTCCCAGGCCCAAAGTTGGGAGAGGGA